TTGAAGGTCACCTCTGACACAGAGTTCTGTGATTCAGAATTGCCAGATGCAAATCTCTTTTAGTCAGTAAGTAGCAATACATGGATGTGAATATCCTGAACATAAAAAGCTTCTCCTGAGGACTTCCAGTGTTGTGCAGACTTAAAAATCAGACAACCAACCATATTCTCCATGGATATTGTTTACCTCACTCAATCTCAAAAGCTATCACTGTAATACAATGGCTATTCATTTATTCAGATAGCCTTTGCATTTACCTGACTTTATCATGTCTGTTGGACGGAGGTCACTTCAAGAATGTTGTTTATCTAAGTCAGTAAAAGATATTAGCATTGCCAGATGGACTTCAACACCAAGAAGAAAGTAATTTCAAAGGATGTGTCAAAAGGAATGTAGGAATTACACATATACCTCTATAAGTTTTAATATTCCAGGAGTGAACTATTTTGTGTCTTTCTTCATTCTTGCTGTTTGTTGCTGAAAACGCCTTTCTTCTGAATATCCTTCTAAACATAAATAATGTTGTCACTTTTGAGGACGAAAGGAGGCAAACAGAAAATGAACAGTCAAAGGTGCCCAGTGAGATACTAGTAAGCATCAGGACAACTCAGGCAAAAGAGGGAGAGATAAATAAATAGTTTGCCTGCTGAAAAAGTGTGTGTTTGCAAGTTTGCAAAGAATTAGCTAAATATAACTCAATTTGATTCTAGGAAGGAGGCTGTGTCCCATGCTGTAAATTAAATCAATGGAGCCTGCCAAGTCAACCTAGGTAAATACCTCCTTCAAAAGAATTCCAGGCCTAGATCCTGAGTATATCAGCAGGATACATGAACCCTAAGATTTGAATGCCACTAATAACAACTTATCTTCAGACCTGCAGAGGAAGGCAAAAAAGGAGCAGTAGAGGACAAACCATGCATCAGGAAGAATAAAACAAAATCTTCCCAACTCCAGTGGAAGCCCTGAGGCATGGAATTATAATGCAAATTTACAGTGATCTAACCTATTTTCTCACACACTTGGGGATACTGACGCACCACATGTCCAGGGACTCATAATATAACCTTAATTTTCTCTCCTCAGGCATTTTCCTGTATTATTGTTGTACAATTATGCCCATAAACTTCTCAGGCTCCTTGCTACCTGACTGCAAGCTATTCCTTCCAGTGCTCAGGAGAGTATTAAAATGCTTCCTTCATCGTATACCTGGAAGCCTTTAGGTTTCCAGTGCAGATGTATTCAGGATTACTCACTGTACTTCCATTTGATGATGTGATGAAGTCAATATCCCTGTCTGACATTTACTTCTCAAATATATTTATAAAGTGTTATCATGTCCCTAATCAGTCTTTGCTGAGTTGTACTAAACAAGAAAAAGATATTTTAATTTTCCTATAAATATATGACTTTTGTTCCCCTAATCATTCTAGAAATGCTTCTGTGCACTTGTTCAATGTAAGTAACATTTTCTATCACTTGGTATTAAAATTCTGCTGCATTTAAATGGAAGTAAACAATACACATATGAACTTTTTGCTGAACCACAGGTAACTCCTTTTTTGCAAACTCAGTAAAAACAAGAAAACCACTAACCAATATTATCCTAAGGAAAAAAAAGAGAAAAAAAAACCTACCAAAAAACAACTTCCTGCCAGCCCCAATATGAAATTGGTACTGCAATGGGAGTTCAATCTCCAGCTAGCAGCAGATGCTTTTCTACAACAAGAAGAATCCACGATGCCCTTCATCAGCTGCGCCCTGCTCCATGTGGAGCTGAGGGCTGCTGTCAGACCTGAGCTTTGAATGCTGTCCTGTGTCAGTAATAAATGGCTGAGCCTGAAAGCAGCTCTCCAGCTGAATATGTAGAAGTATCTGCCAGAGGTCAGTCTGTTTTTCATACCCAGATGCCTCTCTGATTTGAAAGTCATGGCATCAGTCTAGGATGTCTTTATGTACTGTAACTGGATCAAACAGACCTGCTGTCTTTGACAAGGACAGGAGAGCCTTGTCTGGGAGATGGCAGGTGAGTTCAGTTTGACTCCTGCACTTGGCAAACTGGTGAGAAGGTATAATAATTAACAAAGTTAATAGGTATGTTTCTACTATTTAAAATACTAAGGAACAGAAATTTATTAGGAATGTGTAAAGAGACATCATGGACCAAATTTGTTATTTTTTTTTGTCAGTCAAGGAATATGTAGATAATGATAGTATAGATACAGGGGAAGTCTCTCCTGCAAGATGTTTTTACTGCTTGTTTTCCTTCAGGACTTGGCTTCAAGCCATCCAGAGTCCATACTGGATGAACAAAATAACTTGCTTGCTGAGGAAGCCTGTGTATGAAAAAGAAGAATTCGCTCTATCACTTCAGCTTTTTCACCCTGCAGACAGTATGGGTACAGACTGTGGCAGATTTCAGCACCACCAGAGCAGCACCCTGTGGCAGCAGAACCCTGTTTGGCCAGGCACGCCTATTACACCTTCCTCATCGCTGAAACAACTTTCTTATCAATTCCTTCATTAATCTTGTACCATTTCAAAGAGCAGTGGTAGAAGGCCACAGAGGGGATGCTTGGCTCTGGCCTCCTTTTGCAGAAACCATGCTCTTTCCTTTCGGCTTCACTGGGTAGACACCTCACTTATGTGAGACAGGTAAATAACATCCATATTATTAAATTAACCATCACAGCTCCTGCTGCCACCTGCTACAGGAATACCATGAAGACACCCTTCAGTTTAAAACATGAATGTAGCCAACACAACGTCTCACGTTGCTGGTTGGCAATGTGGTTCAGCTCTGCTTCTGTGCCACACCACCCTGTCTTACCCTAAATATTCATCCAGGGGTGACCACTGAGCACCTTGTTCCACCTGACTGCTCATGGGGATTGAAGCTGCAGGTGAAGATTCTGTGACTGCCAGCTTTTGTACCAGAGCACCAGTCTTCCAACCTGTCCCATCAGGTTTCTCAGTGCCCTGCTCCATATGCTGATGAGAATTTTCAATGTCTATCTTAGCTTCTCCCCCTGGAATTCCTGCTGGAGTCATTTTCCTGATGAAGCACAGATTACTTGTTTCCTGGAAGTGTCACAAACCATGAGATTTCTGTGTGCAGTTTGTCTGCATTTCAGAAACTTCCCAGCTCCGTGAATGGGCCAAGGGGAAGGCTTGGACACAGTTTCAAATAACCTTTAAAGTGGAGGTTCTTCAACTGCTCAGGCAAATGTAGGAGGTAGGAGATGAATCTGGGATGAACAGAACAATCTTTGACACTTAAGCCTCCACCCACTTCACATTTGCCTGGAGATCCGACCTCCAGGGAAACACTGTCAACATTACTTCACTATACAGATCACTGCAGGGGTAGGGGATTTAGCAAACACCTCTACTGCAACAGACCCAGCTGGGTATCTGCACACAGGAAAGGATCAGAACAACTCCAAAGGTTATCACACTGCTGGATTGGCAAAGTCAACATGATAGAGTGCAGGAGCAAACAAGGACAGCGTTATGGCACCTGAGCCTCCTGGGCCATCAATGACAGTTTGCTCACAGTGCTTCTCCCTGTTCAAAGCAGGTTGATGGAGAAGCAGTGACACACAGGTCAACTCTGCCAATATCTCCTGAAATAGCTCTATGGAGTCTTCAGGGAACAAAGGAGATCTACCTCCAGATTCTCCACTGCAAAATGTGTTGTGGAATATAATGCTGCTATGTGCACACATTGCTTACTGCTTTACATCCTCCACACAACAGATGTAATCACACTTTGAGCCCTGCTATCACTATTCCCCAATTCAAAGCATTTCTTGTATTTTATTTTTTTTCTTTTTCAGTCTCTGAAGGTAAAGAAGATGGTGGAGACAGAGATTTTGAGAATCAGCTGCCTCTTCCTGAGCTACACAGAATCCCAGGAGGACCGACCTACTTAGTCTGGAGGGGAGCAGGTGTGAGAGGTATGGGATATGTATATCTGATGTACTGAAGAAAGCAAGATTGTCCCATCATTCCAAATACAACAAATAGCAAAATGCATATACACACACACATATATACACACGTTATGCACTTACAACTATTTTTTAACAATATTTATATATATATTTGTATAGGCATTATATATGTATATATATATGTGTGTGTATGTGTTAGGCAGGTAGGTGTAAATACATATACGCACATGCACTTAAATGCCATCGTGTCCTTACACACGACCACAGAGCTGTTCCGTCTCTGGGCTAGGTGCAGGCTCTGTCCGCGTGCAAACACGTTGCACGGAGCTGCCGCGGTGTCGTTTCCCAGCCGTGTGGCCGCCTACACGCGCGCACACACTCATGTACGTGTGCAACACCTGCCCACGCACCCGCGGGTCTCTGTCCCGGGGCCCCTCCCCGCCGTCACCGCCCCCGGCTCGCGCGG